ATGACGTAATTTTGGTCTAGAATCGAAGTACTACATGGGAATACAAATGAGATATTACACCATATTAGGAACTACAGTCTATTTGATTAAGTTAGCAATTTTGCGACTTTGGCGCTTAGAGGGTTAATGTAATACGAGTATAATAACAGTATAATATGTAATAAAAAGTATTTTTTTTCCCATCTCCCATAGTTACTTAAAAAAAAAAAAAAGCTTGAGTGCATCATATGACCCCTTTAAGGACATCAGTTCAATTCAAAGAGGAAAAAAAGCCATACTAACTGTTGCCTTCTTTTGTCAACTTCAGTTCCAGAGACACCTCATTTTTTACACTTTATAAGACCTATGAAAATTCATGAAACACATTCATATTGAGTGAAAGTATTAATGTTTTGCAATGTGGGTGAAAATGTGCCATAAAAATTGAAATCTTGTATGCTCTGCTCATGAATTATGAAAGCATCTTCCTTAGCAGTGAAATGAAATTCCCAGTCTGCTCCTATTATTGAAAAATGAGACAAACAGGGGCTCTCAGCATTAGCACATGACTAGCTCAGAGAAGAGATGAATACAATTGAGAATAAACATGGTAAATATTTGCTGGGGAAATCAGAGCAGATGTTTGTCCAGTGTACCAGATACTCCTTTATTATGGATCTCACAAGCTGCGACAAGTCCTGCTGTTACACAATGAATTCTGCGGCTGTTCTTTGATTCTTTAAAGGGATACTTCACCCAAAAATGAAATTCATCATCATTTACCGACTGTCATGTTGTTCCAAAACCTTTACTTTTTTTTTTTTTTACCTGTAGAACACAAAAAGTCTTATATACAGAAGAATGTCCAAGCTGCTCTTTTCTATATAATGAAAGTGAATGATGAAAATGCTTTTTTTCAAAGCATTTTTTTTTATTTTTAAGCAATATTTTCAAGACATTACGTTTAGTTGATCAAAACAAAAAGATACAGTATGGTTTCAGAAGACTTCAAGTAAGTTATATGGCCTACTTTATGGTAATTTTTAAGCTTGACAGTACCTGTCCTCCATTCACTTTCACTGTATGCAATATAAAAGCTCAGACATTCTCCGATGTTGTTCCATGGAAGAAAGTCAATGAGTAAATGGTGACAGAACTTACTTTTTGGCTGAAAATTCTAAGAAGAACATTTGCCTGTGCTTACAAAGAGTCTGCAAGGCTATTTATGTAATAAATGAGAAGAGAAAATGTCACAGTGGCAGAAAGGCTTCTGTTTCACTTTTCTCCATTTGTTATTTGTTGTGTATTCTTAAACACTTTATTGTCGTAGAGTACATTATGTGCATCTATTTGCCAAAAGTCAGTTCGTAATTTATTTTAAGATCATCGTTTTTATTCTGTTTTCTGCATATAAAAAGTGTGCCAAAAAGTCAACATTGTCTCTGCTGGGAATAGAATTAATTTAAAGTCAATATTGCATTTAACAACACACATAACTGTTTCACCTCTACAGAGTTATACAAAATTTTAAATGCTGTGGGAGGCTTAAAGATACAGTTCACTCCAAAAATGAAGATTCTGTTATCATGTACTTGCTCTCATGTCATTCTAAACCTGTATGGCTGACGATAGAAGATATTTTGAAGAATGCTGGCAACCAAACCATTTAATTCCTACTGACATACATTGCATTTTGTTCATACTATGGAAGTCAATAGGAACCAAAACAGTTTGGGTACTGACATTCTTCAAAATATCTTCCTTTGTGTTCCACAGAAAAACAGTCAGTCATACAGATCTCAAACAACATGAGGGTTGAGGAGTAAATAATGATAGAATTGTCATATTTGGGTTGACTATTCCTTTTAATATGGCTTTTATGATGTCAACTGAAGGATTACCCAAAGTGAAAATAAGGCCAGTTTAACATATAATACATAAAATAATTTATAATCAAAATATTTAAAGATTATACATTTTGGTGTACAATTGCTTGCAAAAATACAAAAGCAGAAGCACGTCTTATAAAATCAGTTTAGGTGAAAGCATCAGTTAAATGGCTGAAATGTAAATCACGTCGTGGTCATAAATACTGAGAGAAACTCCAGGAGTCAGTCACAAGGGGGCGCTCTGAAGCCTACATGCCACAGAGGAAGACAGGCAGACGAGACAGAAGAGGCAAAGGAAGGGGAGGCTAAAGGAGGGTGACGCTTCTGGCAAGACAGAGGTGTCACCTTGTCATACAATATTTAACCGAACACCTGTGAGATGATATCACATTAACAAAACACTTTAGTCAGCCATTTACTCTTTAGTATTCTCACAAGATCGGAAGGCGGCGCAGACCCTCTGCCTTCATACTTCACTCGCCTACCAGCCTTTTTAATTGCAGCGCTCAAGCTCGTTTAAAATTCCAAATGAAAACACGCTTGGAAGAGAGGAATAAAAAATCGTGGGTTAACAAATAAGGCATTAACCCGCACCTAATTAGTATGGGAATTCGGTGGGGGAATTTTCAGAGTTAAATCACTCATAACTCAAGCACCATTAAGCCACATTAGTGCATTTTTGCTTTGATATCTCTATTCAGAGAACATTAGCGCTATCTTCACAAACCGTTGCTTAGTTAAGCACCGTAATTAGATTAATGGTGGCGGCAGTTATAGCGCCCGGAGCACCCTACCTTCCGGATGCCTTCTTTCGATTCCTCCACGTTGTTTTCGGCTCCTCCAGTCCGGTTGATCATCCTCCACATCTGCGAGTACATTGGGTCCCTCTCAAAAGGGTTCATGCCTTTACTGCGGACCTGGTCGTAGACGGCCGAGTCCAGAACCGTGCCGTACGGCAAGTCTGTCTGCTTAGCCAAATCCTGCAGAGACCTGGAGGGGAACATTGAAACATATTACAATCGGAAATGTTGAGAAACAACATTATTGGGTTGATGCCTGGGGGCGTAATAATTTAACAATTAAAACATTATTTGCAAAACCTACAATGTGGATGCATGAATACCCACGTTTCAGCTTAATAGTACCAGTGCAAGTGAGTATAAATCCATCCATCAGCTTTGTTGCGCAGACGCTCACCCACTTATATTATGTCGAATACTGTTTATTCAGCAATTTGTGTTAATATCTTACATCTAATTAAAAGTTAGCCAACCAAGGGACAGTAATTCCCCGCAGTAATATTTATATTAAGCAAATAATTGGAGAACACAATAAAGATGAAGGCTTCTCTGTTTCCCCTCACGCCGTGATCAAAATACTGCAGTTCATCAAAGCGTTTCATTAAGTCTCGCTTCATTTAGAAAACTGATAATGATACAAATTAGTGCTTTCGTAATGTGTTAATATTCAACATGATTAACTCTATAGTAATATTTCTATACATTTGAGCATCATGTCAATGACAGCAGAAAGCGTGGGTTGGTGCCACTGAGATTCCAGCAGATAGTTGGACTGACCTCTAATTTATCAAATATTATTACATCAGACAGCTGTCGTCTTCTTCTAGTACTTAACTCCGCTAGCACCCTTTGAAGGTTTAATGAACTTGCCCACAAATGTTAATCTTTTATTGCTCCCAATTAATCTTGGCACTTAATCCCCGCCCCTCCCTAAGAATTGTGGCTATGTGTCGGGTGTTGTTTGCATGGAGAATTGCCATAAAAATGACCCGTGAGAACCCCACAGTACCATAAAACACCACTGAAGGACTGCTGAAAAACGCTGGTCCGTTCAGTGAAATTTTGCTTTCAATGCTAATGTAAGTCCTTTGTCTTTGTGTTCTACTCTGTGGGTCACTGTGCACCTAATATAGAAGCACTAAAAACAGTTTTCTCTCCCGTGTCGACATATTTCTTATTAAAATAGAAAGTTTAAAGTTTTTGAAGTAGCTAACAGGCTTTTGTTGTCACAATCATAAATGATGATTTGCTACTTGTTATAGTCAGCCACCTCATACTACACAATCTTTTTAAACTTCTAAATTCTGTTAAGAATAACAAATCATAAGACACAGATAATACAGTTTAGAGAATGGTATATTAAATACTACTATTACTACTACTACTAATATTAATACATGTTTTTAATGAATAATAATAATAAGTTTTAAGGTAGTGCTTATAATATAATAGATTTGTAATATAATATATATACTACCATTTAAACGTTTGGGGTCAGTAAGAATTTATTTTTTAAGAAATTAATTCTTTTATTCAGCAAGGATGCATTCAACTGATCAAAAGTAACAGTAAAGACATTTACAATGTTACAAAAATTATCTTTCAAATTAATGCTTATCTTTTATATTTTATATTATTTTCTACTTTGTTAATCAAAGAATTTTGACGAAAAAAAACAAACAACAACTATTTTTAACATTGACAATAAGAAAAAATGTTTCACGAGCAGCAAATCCGCATATTAGAATGATTTTTGAGTGATTATGTGACACTGAAGACTGGAGTAATGATGCTGAAAATTCAGCTTTGCCAACACAGCTTTTTACTTTTAAAAAAAAATTTTTTTTTTTACTCATTTTACAGTTATTTTTAGCATTCTAGAGAAAATCTGGAGAAAATCTGCGTAGTGCAGGATGAGTCTTCAATATTTTACATGTGTTTTCCTGAAAGAGAAAAACTGCATATTTTAAAAGCATTCTTCTACATTTATGAGTACACTAGTATATCGATGTCCTCACAGTTAAATACCATGCACTAAAAGCCAGAAAATGAGGTCTTCAAACAGGGTCAGGGTTGAGCAAGTAGACTGACTGTTGTAGATTTGCTATAGGTTGCAATATTTATAGATTCTGTTGACTGCAGTTAAATCCATCTCGGTAATTTTTAATACTAGCGGAACATTTGCAATGCGGCAATGTGTTCTTGTTACTGCAAAATTCAGTTAGCCTCAAGAATAGCAATCTATCTGTGTATATGCTTTTTCAAACCCTTTATAGGTGACCATCTGGCGGCATTCAAATGCTATGGCCGCTTAGCTGATCTCTTTGCTTTGCCCAGGAAAACTGTCATCTATGGCACAGAGTGACTGTGACTAGCCAGACCGCAGGCAAACTGGCATGGCTAGCAAACTGAGAGTGCAGAAAAAAAAAAAAAAATCTCGAGAAGCCTGTAGCCTGGCCCTCCTTCACCTTCACAGACGGATGCATCTCACAGCCATGTTGAAATCCGACACGTATGGAGCCGCATTGAACAATCTGTTTCTTAAATAATTTTTTTTTAAACTTCTAAACCGATTTAACAATATGCATGAATATTCAAACACGCTTCCTCACAAGGGCACATTGTAATGCATATTTAAACATTAAGGCTGCAGTACAGTCTTTAGTACTTTTCTCTGTTAAAAAGGCAAATTGGATGGCATTTTCATGCTGTTTTGGGATAAAAGTGAAATCCAGCAAATCAGTGGCACGGTCATTCAAAACAATAGCAATCAGCACAAACAACATCCATCTGAAGTGTTTTTCCTCACTCAGAAGATGATAAATCCTTTCTCTAAACGTCTACAGCTGAATCCGAGCCATCACTGTGCCAGCATGTGCAAAAGTAAAACAAAACAAAAAAAAAAATCAGTTTCCACAGTTGCGGGCATTGATTCGTGCTTTTGATACTTACCTCAGAATTCAGACGCGCTGAAAAAGTTTCACACAAATGCATTCGATATCAAATAAGTACACAGCGTTCGTCTGAATTCCTTGAGGACCAGCCAGATGAATAAAACGAGTGAATGTATAGATTTTGTGTTTACTGGTTAAGAGCTATGTGGGGTAAGTGAGAGTTGTTGATAAGTTGACGTCGCCCTGATTTAATTAACACTGGGTTAGGATCAGTAAAGTCGATAAAAAGAGACTGATGAACTAACGCTCCTCCTTTTGGTCCCCTATCTTTCTTGCTTAAAATTCTCACAGCAACAAAAGAATATGAAACTAAACAAACTGCAACGACTTTAAATCTATTAAGTACTGAATCTCCTCTAACAACTATGTAATTGTGAACTCACCCCAACACCCAGTTGGTCTCATAAATCTTTCAGCTCATCCTGACTGAATTGTGTATTTTAAATACAACAGACCCCTGGGTGCAGAGTTTAGGCTGTAATTATTTCTGTAATGACCCTGCCATCGTCTACACATTAAAAGATAATACATTTAAATTTATGGAAATCCTAATTAGGTGCATAGAGCTAGAATTAAGCGATCTAAGCACAAGCTCATTAATGATAATCTAATGCAAAGAAAAACAAACTGAGATCTTGAGAAAATAAATACTAAATACTCTCATTTTCCCTAGTAATGCCCCCTCCCCAAATCGCCTACATGGTTATATGATAAAGGAACCGAGGATTGTTACAAGCACAATTAACTCTATCACTGCTAGTCATCGTTGAATTTGATTAACCACATGTGAGGCACTATAAATCACAGAGCACACGTTATTTCAAAACTCAGTAAACTCTATGACTGTGTCAGACTCTGTTCCGTGATTTGTGTTTTGCTCCCCACGTGTTCCATGACCCAGTTTTCCCTTATGTTTAATTATTGTTTCATTAGTTCCAGGTGTGTCTCGTCATCCCATCCTCTAGTCATGTGTATTTAAAGTGTTTATTGTTTTGAGTTCTCTGTCCGGTTTTGTTTATGTC